AGCAGTGATGTCACAGGGACATTTGTGACATCACAGGGGTCTGGTGACATCACAGGGACATTGGTCACATCACAGGGACACTGGTGACATCACAGGGACATGGTGGCACTGCTGCAAACAATGGTGATATCACCAGGAAAGCAGTGACATCACTGGAGACCAGTGACATCACAGGGGACTGCTTACAGCAGTGGGAAAGCCAAGATGTCACAGGGACATTGGTGACATCACAGGGGGTGGAGGTGACAACACAGAGATACAGTGATATCATTATGGACATTGGTGACATCACAGGGGACAGTGGTGGCATCACAGAGGAATCTGTGAAATCATACGCGATTGTTGCCAACAAATGAAAAGCCGTGATGTCACAGGGACATCAGTGGCATCACAGGGACATCGGTGACATCACGGGAACTACCATGGTGCTACCGTTGGGGACAGTGATGACATCACAGAGACAGCAATGGTGTCACTGGGGACCAGAAATATCACTGGGGATTGGTGACAACAAAGGGAAAGCCGTGATGTCACAGGGACATCAATGACATCACAGGGGACCCGGATAACAACACAGAGACACCAGTGATATCACGGGGGACATTGGTGAAATCACAGGGGATGGTGGTGACATTAGAGGGACAGCAGTGACATCATTGTGGACCAGTGACATCACAGAAGACTGGTGAGAACAAAGGGGCAGCCGTGATCTCCCAAGGACATCAGTGACATCATTGGGGACATCGGTGACTTTACAAGGACAGGGGTGACATTGCAGAGACACCAGTGACGTCATCGGTGACACTGGTGACATCACAGGGACAGCAGTGACATCATTGGGGACCACAAAGGGACAGCTGTGATGTCACAGGGCTATTGGTGACATCACAGGGGACAGGGGTTACAACACAGGGGACAGAGGTGACATCAAAAAAACACTGGTGACATCACTGGGAACAAGTGACATTACAGAGGACTGGTGACAACAAAGGGACAGCTGTGATATAAAGTGGATGTCGGCAGAGGAGCTTCCAGAACAAACTGCACACAAATCAAGATGATTTACACAAATGTTCCGCTTTATTTACATAACCCAACCTCTTATACACTTTCACTGCCCCCCGGGGCGTGATCACTTTCAAACTATTGGTTATTTGCTGTAACCCACGAACCGAGCGTGCATTACTGACACACTGCCTATTGGCTGCACACAAATGTCCATGTGATATGAAGACATTGTTTTTCTCCTAAAACTCCTCCTTGTTTTTGTCCCAGGTTTCTCTTTGTTTACATTCCTGCAGTCTGGTATCACTGCTCCTGTATCTTTCCACAGCCTGCAAAGAGGCTTCTGGCTCTGTCAGGGGCAGGTCTAACTGAGGCCAGTTAGTATGGTTTGTCCATAGTGTGTCTTTTTTCAGCTCAGCACTCCACACATGGACATCAGTGACATCATTGGGGACATCGGTGACTTCACAAGGACAAGGGTGACATCACAGAGACATCTGTGACATCATCAGTGACACTGGTGACATCACAGGGACAACCACGACATCACTGTGAGTACCAGGTTCGCAAGGATATGTCTAGAATAAAGACAAGTACAACAGTCATTCAAACACTACAAAATATCTTTTATTGCAGTGAGAGTTAAAAAAAAAACTATTCGCAAAGAGAATCAAAAGTTAAAAAGAATACAAAAAACCCCCTACTTTATCTATTGGTGTTCATACAGTACTACGAACAGCCTCTATTACAGTATTAGCTAGTACAAGGGGATTTAAAGGGACACAATACTAGCTAGTAAAAAGGGAATTAAAAGGATACAAGAAAAAGGATAGAAAATCTTTGCTACCTTGGTTGCTTCCTACCAATAAACTGTGCTCACCTGCACAGACAGGCCAGGCCTACCAGGCTCTGCAGGGCTGGTCAGTGCCCG